GATGTTACAACGTACAGATATTAGATTATGGTATATTGGCTAATATAAATGGCTGAGCCAATAAAAAGTCTTGAATTGCAGCAGTAAAGAACATGCTGGTTCAGAGCCCTTTGGAGACGATCTGACAGAACGATTGAAAACTGTTGAGGAAAGTAAAAAGGAAGCCCAACAACTCACCAAACAAAAAAATTGCAAAGTCTCTCTCCTTAAAGGGATCACACAATTCCAAGGAGAATTTTTATTTTATTACAGGGGGCGTTGCAATCACAAACGCACCCAAACTACAGCTACTACCAAAAGGAAGAGAGAAACTATCAGGCTACAATACGGACCTCCTAGCTTGTAATTAACATAATTATTAGATCTAGAGTTTAAATCAGCTATAAAATACTCCAAGACATGTAAATTTTAAACACTCCATACTGTCATTGCTAGAGTTTTGGTGTCAGAGAAGTGGTTGAAAAAAACCCCAAAAAAAAACACAAACCAACCAAAGCTGTGAAGGAGGGCCTTGGGGGGGGCTGAGAGTCTAATAATGTTATATGGTTATCAATTATGAAATTAGACGGCTGGGGCTGGATCAGATATCTGCTTTGTACTTGCACAGCTTAGAGACTCTTTTCGCCTAGTTTGATTCACGAGATGAGCGCTTTCACTCCTAGAAGAGATTGAAGTGTAAAATCTCTTTGCAAAGCCAACATTTTATCGTGAAATGGTTCATGAAAACTGACGAACTTATCAGCTAAAGGATGTTATCTTGATGTAATGCTAATTTCTCTTAGCTCAAGCACATAGGTCAATCCCCTCTCATTTTAATGTGGTTTCTTGTCGGGCCCAGAATCAACCTGAAAGAAGAGCATCAAAAAGCGCACTTAAAATTGTCCAATTCCCCACTCTGTCTATCAGATCATTCTTTTCTTACAATTTTAGAGTTGCGAATTTGATACGAGATCAATTAATATCTTCTAGTTCAATGATCCTCATTTGTCTTCACCTTTCTGCATGGAATCGGCGACCAGTCATTGTTTTTCTTCTCGTTTAAGGATGGGGCGGTGGAGGATTTTGGTAGGATCACCTGGTTATCATGGAAACGGAGAGGGTATCAGTTGTCGCCAACAGAGTATGAAGGGGGGAGGGGAACTTTAGTTAATTGACTGACAATTAACTGCCAATGAGAGAGGGGAGGGATCATAAAACAGGACCTGATGGGGGTGGATCAGGTAAATTTTATCGTGACACAATCAAAACTCCTCCGACCCCTTCCCCAGAGGTAAACAATGACCACTCACTCAAATGGATATCTTAAGGGAAAGTTCACTTTAGGTCACTCGTTGGGACTAAAGTTAAGCCCGCCATTTATGACCGAGGCGGGTGTACAGAGACTCGATCACTCGCACTTTCCAACACTTCGAGTAGCCTGCTTGTATTTAATTTACTTTCTCCTTCGGTGAACAATAGCAGTATTTGGTTAGACTAGGGTGAGAAGACGCGATGCAATACGGTTGATCTCGGTAAGCGTCAACTCGACTGATATCTCCTACTAGTGAGGGAACACCCTTCTTCATTCTAACAGAGGCTTCGTAAAATCCCTCGTTTGGAGATGTCACAAACTGTAACTGATATAAAGTGTCTTTAGCGAGAGTATTAACCGATTTTTCACCCAACACCACACCACAGGAGTCACATTCGTCGTTGGCGCCCTTCTTGGAGTCTACAAATCTCTGCATGGCTTCTTTCGGCATCTCGCGAAACGCGCTCTTTATTTCCTTCAATTTTAACCGCTGACATAACTGACGCAGTTCATCGTTCTGTGATGTAAGACTGTTAATGACTGTGACGACAAACTTAGCTGATTCGTTAACTTCAGGCTCTTCCAGCGACACAGCTTCCAAATCAAGACAGGGGCACCAGTGATCTTCCACACCTGCGCTTGCACACGTTCGATTTCCCTCGTCAATCCGGCTGAACAAGCTTTGGCCGGTTGTAATATCGCTTGGATACTGTGGATACGACAGTATGTGACGTAATGTGGCATAANAAATGACTCTCGCTGAAATGTTTGCAAGAAGTGTGTGAGGTCCTCATCTATATAACCGATCATGTTTACGTTATCGTGCGAAAGCGCAGCATGAGATAAGAACGAAAAATTAGGCCGATCCTTGTAACTTCGAAAGAAACTCAACAAATAATTCAGAGATACGTTATGAGCTGGTCGGTTATTGATACATTTTCCTCTTAAAATTTTATCTGTTTCTATCCAGAATGGTCTTGAGAAGTGGTCTGTTGGAGGGTCTTTGAAACCATGTAGACGATAATTGAAGGCTGCTAACCCTGGAATGTCCTCTGAGAACATGGTAGCATACCCTTTGTCTTTGTAATTTCTGAAAATCCAGCGCCATCTGTCCACAGGTTGTGAGCCACTCATTCTCCGTCGAGCCTCGGGTTGCTTATTCTCGTCGATTCCTGTGAACATGCCACACAGCTGCGCCGTAGTACCATCTCCTACGATTGTCTCTCCTGTCAAACACATTAAATGGATGC